TATATATATATAATATAAATCTCTCTCTCTCTCTCCTCTCTCTCTCTCTCTTCTCTCTCTCTCTCTCTCTCTCTCTCTCTCTCTCTCTCTCTTTTCTCTTTCTCTTTCTCTTTCTCTTTCTCTTTCTCTTCTCTTTCTCTTTCTCTTTCTCTCTTTTCTCTTTCTCTCTTCTCTTCTCTCTCTCTCTCTCTCTTCTCTCTCTCTCTCTCTCTCTCTCTCTCTCTCTCTCCTCTCTCTTTTTGCAATTTCTATACTCTCCTACTGCTGCTGATAAAAGTAACCGATGTTTGTGAGCATTATATGATGAATTGCTAACGAGTGTGCTTTCGGCAGTGTAAAGCAGAGTCACAGCAGAGATAAGTAGAGTAGAGTAGAGCTGGTCTTTGGTACAGAGTTTTATCAGTCACTTAATGATTTGGGATATATCTAACCTGTACAACATTGCTGTGTACTGTGCTGTGTTTGTTGTCTTTTGTTTCGGTTTAATTTATGTCTGCTAAAAAATAAAACTTCAGTTCATTTAATTTTCAATGTAGTTACAGATTTTAATACTCATGCCTGATATATAAACTCTAGAGAGAGTAAAAATACTATATGAACCAATCATCTACTTAGTTTTGATACAAGGTCATGGGTTTTGTCACTTTAGTGCCCAGTACCTATAGTAAGGAAAGCACTGCATATTTTACTAATAAAGCAACTATAGGATGTACAATGAATAAACTAAGTATGCACCTGAATAATCTGAATAATAGTATTGAAACTATTTGTCAGTGTAATGCTCTTTGATAATAACCACTACTCAGTCTATGAGTCCTTTTTTTTAATTAATATACCAATCCAGCATTTCTTGGGAAATAGGGTAGTGTATGAGACTGGAAATGTCAGAACTTTGATTAAAAACCTTATGCATTTACCAATAGATCAAAAGAAGCATTACTTCACACAGATATGTACTATGCAATACTGACATAAGCTATAACTACTCCCATTCAGTTATATTTTTTCTACCATAAAATCCATTGTTCTAATCCATCATAATCCTATATGGTATATCAGTCTTTTTGAGAGGTCTTTTATTTTCTTCTCCTGATGGCAATTCTTGTTTTCTTCAGACACTTTTTGTATTGGAGTCATTTCCACATCAATCAAATTTGATTATCAATTTCAGGGTAAGTAACTGCTAACCATGTCAATTTCAATGTACATAATATCTCTGAAGCATATTTGTGTGTAAAATGTACCATAAAAAGGTAATTTTACATATGAAGCAAGGCTATAAATCTAGTTTATTCAAGGTTTATGATAGGCCAAAATTATGATAAAAAGACTTATGTATTAATGCATAATATATACAAACTATATTTGGTAGACACATCAGTATGTACAAATAAATTAAGTATTATACATAATATTAATGAACTGTAAATCTAGAGATACACATTATATAAACCAGTGATAATAGTAAAAAAGGAAAAAAATAGAAAAAAGAAAACCAAGAAGAAAAAAAAATGAGAAGAAATATTGTCTCATGAGGACACACGTTGAGGACTGAAGCCTGGACCTCGAAGCTCTTAACAGCTAAACCCTTGGTCAAGAGGCAAACCCTAAAAGGGGGGAGGCTGTCAGGGCAAGCCACTCCAGGGGTAACATCACTCCCGCCACCTGGGATTCCTATGTGTTTACGGATGGAGTGAGGGGGGATGGGCTGTAAGGGAACCTGACATCTGCTAGAAGGGGCACTAGATGGAAAATACAAAAAAATAAATTAATAAATTTAAAGTAAATTATATTCAGGTATAACAAATACAGAAATACAAGATATATGGAAAATACATATCAACAGCACAATACTAGAACAGAAGTTGAAGATGAAAAGATAAAAGATAAGAGAGATAAAGACAAAAAATGAAAGATTACTTCACACAAAACAAAGTGTCATAAATGTCTATTGCAAACTAACAAGACATAAAGAACCTGTTGAATGCTACAATAAGAGAAAAATGACAATGACAACCACTATAATGGGATGATAACAATAAATAATATTTGATAATAAAAATAATATATTTACTAATAATAATAACTAACATTATCCATCATTAAGTAACTAGTAACTATCCTAAAAAAATTAATACATATCAATAATGACAAAATTCCCAGCAATAATAAATAATACTATCAATCATGTCCATCATGATGATGATGATCATTATGATCATCATCATCATAATAATAACAATAATAATAACAAATCATTATCATCAGAAACAATCAATAATAATAATAATAATATCACAATAATAATAACAATATATAATAATAATAATAATAATAATAATAATAATAATAATAATAATAATAATAATAATAATAATAATAATAAAATAATAAAATGATAATAATAATAACAATAATGATAATAATAATAATGATAATAATAAATAATAATAAAATAATAATAATAATAATAATAATAATAATAATAATAATAATAATAATAACAATAATAATAATAGTAGTTTAAAACAACCAACATATAGTATGTATTATACCCAAAATCACAGGTACAAAGTCACAAAATAAATTACTTTTATAGCTAGGAGACATAGCCCAGGTACAATGATTCAGTGAGGTGGGGATTACCTCAGTTAACCAGTGCATCTGGGGCTTTTATTATGTTAGTAGAGCCCTCAAAGAGAATTGGGGAACACTTTGAGGGTTTCACCAAGCTTGAAGAGAAGAGAACATAAGATTACTTTTGATGCCAAGCCCCTTTGTCAACTACTCCAGGCAATACAGCCTTCAACAGTCAAAACTAGACAGCAGGACAAGTCACACAGAAACAGTTATGGTGGTCAGGAAGGAAAGTTCCACACTCCTATCTGCACAGATAAGGTGGAAACCTTAAACCTGATACCAACACAAAATTTGTTCCCTAGAGTCTCTCCTGCACCATCATCTTTAAGAGAAAAAGCTGAAGACAGACTCCACACATACATAAACACCTACTACAAGAAAAAAGCTTGGCATATAAAACACCGAGCAGCAACAAGGATACAGCAACAACCCTACCTAATGAGGAGCCCGTGAATGAGGAACCCGTGTCTTGGTTAAGGACTCAAGGGTAAAAACATCTGAGGAAATAAATGTGAAGAATGGCATAAAAAAAAATCCAGCCTGGACCCTTTGAGACAGCACTTTTTTAAATACAAATTATAACTCATGAAATCAAATGGAACGTGAAATATCTTATGAAGAGATAAACTTCAATAGCCAGGTTAATACAGTCTGAACTTCTCAATGGGAAAGTACATAAACATTTCCACAAACATGTTATGATGTAGAATATCAACAGAAACCTGCAATATACAAGTTCTGTTTTCTTTTGATGTCAGGATTACAAGTTTAGAGATGGATGTCAATCAGATCTGTCATCCACTGGTTTCATGTATACTATAAACAAGATCTGGTTCACAACTATCCTCAAGCTTGCGTCAGTAAACTAAGAAAAACATCAACAAATAAGTATCCATTTGTGTTATCAATTAACCTGGAAAAAGAAGAGAAAATGAACATGTATTTGAGGTCATGAGGTCAGGACAGAGGTATAGGATGGAACAAGGTATACTGGTACAAGGTATTAGCCTTGAGCTTCTGACAAGGACCAAAGATGAAGGGGTCAGAGAAGGCTGTGGTGGTCCTACAATTATAGTTACTGGGAAATGGGGATGAAGGGTGCTATTCTAAGTACAGAAATAGAAAGGCTTTTGGAGGGGAGAATGGCTTGGAGGAGGACTGGAGAGGAAGAGAAAATGTGCAGTTGAAATGCTAAAGTAAACATCGACTTGCAAATATAATGTAATAATACTTTAGTGGATCCTTTAGAACACATCCTGAATGAAAGTGTCATGAAGGAAAACTGTTCATCAGTCTCCACCAAAAAAGCACATGATGCATATGAAAACACTAAGATAGAAGAGCATACAAGTACAGGAAAAACTTGGTAACTCCAACTGTGGATCTGTGGCAACAAACTGTAAAGCAATACAATCACTCAATACATTCTTCATCCAAAGCTTCTGTAAGGAAAATACAGGTTGGAATGAATAAACAGTATATAAATCAGTAGATGAAATTACCAAGATTCAACTGTATTACAAATATTACAAACAGGACAATAACACAGCGAAAACTGGACTTTGAAGAGTGCATAAATAGTTTCAGTAGCCATTTAGAGGCTAATTTATCAATAACGCTTATCATAATGACTTGAATTCAAACTCTATCACTTGTTAAACATATTGCATTTACAAATAATAAAATGAAACTAAACAATATTGTAACAGCATTGACAATGCTTAATAAGGTGCTGTGCATTTACACTGAAATACAATTGACATGTAATTTTTCTTTATTTATCAAGATATTATGGATCTTTGGATGCAGACCACTGATGTTGGTGGACTCTGTTGCATTTGGAACACTACAAATCAACTGAGTTTTACCAGACAAGAAAGTTTGGCCTCTTGTCATGACTTCTACTGGCCATGGCTTGGTGACCTTGCCCACTGTCTTGGTAGTATCTCCGTCTGCTCCTTCATAGACAGTGCCAATCATATGCATAATTGACATAATTTTCTTGACAAGTTAATAGTTCTCAAGTGGGGCATCTCTGATGGCAAAACAAACTTCATAGTCAATTCATACAAGATAAATGCTCAAAATAATGTCAACATTACTGCTGACTGGCCTATGGATTTTCCATCTTGTGTAGACCAATTAAGTCTATCCACCCACTGGTTCTTCAAGGTCAATCAAAATTAAACTGGAGTACAACTCCTTTCATCACATACATTATATGACAAGCAATCATCAACATATTGCAGGTCTTGACAAAGTACATTTGGCCAAATTCTGAAACGCTGTAGTGACACACTCGGGACAATTAAATGGTGAAGTGCTCAATGCCCTGTGAATGTTCTTCATCTCTTTATCTGTTTTACCACAACTTGCCTATTGGTGTTTCAGAATCTGTTCTACTTCTACTTCACAACACAAATAATTACCTCACTGAAGTCCTGCGCAAGGTCCATGAGTGCTTATCAAAAAATGTATAAATATAGCTTGATCTACTGCAGGAAACTCTCTAGTGTACATTGGCTGACTAGAAAATGTTGGACTTGTATTATTAACTAGTAAGTTTAAAGTTGTTTCAATCTGGAAACCATTTTACAAAGACTTCTTCCTAGTTTTAAACTTTCTGATCTCAGTCACTACCCGACTGCTTCATATTCCTTATAAATATTTTTGTTTCATTCTAATGCATGCATATTAATTTCATATTCAAGTTTCCATCAATAAATTAAAACAACACTATAATTTAGACTAAACAGCTTGAATAGAAAGGATTCATATAATAGACTACATTATCAAGAATACATGCTTACTCTGTGTTGATACCAAGCATTCTTGTACTGGGAGGGTTCTTTTAAAGTACATTATGAATAAATAACATGATACTATCTTCCCAATTTAACAGAATTTCCATTAGTATGAGAAAAAATACATATTACATACTTATTACAGTTTTCATTTCTTCCCTTTTTAGTCTTACTTTCAAGATTCATTATACAGATTTTACAAACAAAGTAGTAAGCAGCAAAATTGCAGAGCAAAATTGAGCACGAAATCTAATTTTCTAACAGAAAACAAAAGTGACACTTTTGTCACCCACCACTAGTAGTAAAAACTGCAGAAGGTTTGTGCTTCTACATCCTATCTGCATGTTCTCTAAGGACAAACACATTTGGAAAAATGCTTATCCTAACACCATCCAATCCCAAATCAGTGTTGTGCACACTTGCTGCTTTCACTTTTGGCTGCTTTAAAATTCATTGGAACAAAGTAAGATAACAAGGAAAATAAGAAACACATCAATAAAAAATAACAGCCTGAATATTGCAGCACAAGGTGACTTACTCTCCAAATTCGACCACAGTTGCATCATGTCTTCGCGACTTGAAATCTGATGTCTACAAGACGCTCTCTGCAGAACGTGAGAGGTGGATAGGATGGGAAGGGGAGCGGTGGAGCCGCTTCTTAGGAAGCCTTGTCAAGCTGTTCAACATGGTGGAGAACTCGGGCCTTTCATCCGGCCGGTAACTCCAGCAGGCCATGAGTATGTCCTATGGGATGGCAAAATCAGGAAATGAAGAATGCAACAATAAAATTCAAAACAAATAAACACAAACACACATGCACATACGCAAGCACACATTCACACACCTATGCACACGCAAACAGAAACACACACAAAAATGAAACAAATATGTATATATATATTAATCAACAATAATAACAGCAATAATAATGCTTATATGTTAAAGGACATTTCCTACTATAATTACTATTAATCCAGTGCCTCCAGGCCAGCTAAATACGTCAAAAGTTCTGAACTCTGGGGCAGCACATAAATATATTGCAATATGCCAAGTGTGGGTTACCAGCACGATTTCATGCCACATATGTACCAACAAGATCCTGGTTTGCGACTGATACAGACATGTATGAAATAAAAAATGGCCTTAGTGCTAGTTTGAGTCTATTTCTGTATATGTATCCAGCCACCTTGGTGAAAAGTCCACATCACAGAAGGGCTATAAACTGTGATTGGACCAAGATAACAGTCTGTCTCCTACCCAGATGGTCATTTACAGCATTGTATAACAAACAAACCATCCACAGGTAGAGGGTTAGACATTCAACATAACCTATTCATATATCTAGGGGCAAAAGGATTGAGTTGGTTTTACTTTTAATGCAACTGTTTTAATATATTATATATACTTAGAAATTTAATATTTTGTCATTCTAAGCAGCTGGCCACTTTAGTTTGTATCAATAGTATGTAAGTTCATTTTGCTATAAAATCATAAACTTCCTTGTATTTATTCCTTATCTTTCCACAAACAAATAAGCAGATATCAAATTCCTTCTTCTGTAAAGTGCAAGTGTCCAACTAAATACTTAAAATCTAATACCATCACAACCTACAAAGTTCTTACCTTAACATCCCGTGAAGCCTGTAGGTGTGCCAGTGAAGGCTTCATTCCACGTCCAACCTGCCATATTATGGCCTCTGGAGGAAGGCCTTTATGGGGCCATTCACCACATAATAATTCATACCACACAGTACTGGAAAGAAAATATACCCATCTTATTTTTTGCTACCGTAAATCAAGAAGAAATGTCTGCAGTACTTGAGGAATTCATGTTTTAGAATTATCTAACATAATTTTCTATACCAATGACCATAATTATATTCTGCACATGAATTCAAGGTATAAAGAGAGTATATTCTTAAACTCATACTGAAACATCTTGCTAATTCCAACAGTAAAAAAAAAAAAAATCATTTCACTTTACCAAATATGTTACATTTTCTTGTGCAAATGCACACACACGCACACTTACTCGCTCACTCTGTGCACGCCAGAAAAGTGAAATAACAATCACTTAACCAGCTGCTGCCAGGGACAGCATATAAGTACATGCAACATCCACAGTGAATCTAGCTTATTAATTATCTTTAGACAAACAGGTCTCCAAAAGTACTTAGTCACCAATGAGTCAATTACTAGTAATACCTGTCTCACCTGTTTCCCCTTATCCTTGATTTACCAAAAGATTATATTATATATATATTATATATATATATATATATATATATATATATATATATATATATAATATATATAATATATATATATATTATATATATATATATATATATATATATAATATATATATATATATATATATATTATATATATATATTATCTTATATTACTGTTAGAGCTGCAAATACCATTATAATAGGTACACTGTCAATAATGAGAGCTTCAATATTGATAGCATTAGCGGAGCATCTATGTGCTTCACAATATTTTTCTGGCAGCACGAAGTTAGACTGTTATTAATTAGTAGTTAAGGATCTTACATTTGTGCCTAGGTCAATGAAATAAACTAATGCATTGTTAAAATCCCTTCAAGAATATGTTCCTTCTCGACCTATATAGCAACAGACATTTTATCTCCCTAAAAATGGTAAACTCTTTTCTATTATGAATATATGACCAGGATGACTTTTAAAATAAAAAAAGGACTTACCCGAAACAATAAACATCTGAATATGTGGTGAAAGGAAGGCCATCGTCTTGTTTCTGTATCACACGCAAGTTCCTCATGACCTCGGGGGAGAGATAACACAACCAACCAGGGGGAATACTTAACCAGTTGCCTCGTCTGAAACCAAATAAAAGAAATTCATATAACTGGATTTTATTAAATAGTGCAATAGTATTTAACCCCTCCCCCTAAACACACACATTCATGAGGGGGGGGGGGGATATTTTAGGGTTCCCTTGCTTACTGATTATTGTGGTTGCCCATTTGTTCCCCTAAGAGAACAAGCAGATCAGTGAATGTATTACCCTCAGCTATAAATCCTAGTTGCCACTGGTCAATAACAAAGTGCATCACAGGTACCCAAATGCAAATAAGTTAAAGCTAATTTGCCTAACCGGGTTTGTCTCTCATTTGCTAATTTTACTTCATTAGTCACACTATTTTTACTTCCTTCTTATATAAAAAGTGTTCCTACATTTGTAAACGATATTTAATCATGAAGGAAGTCTATCATTAAATGAAATCATTTAGTGGTAAAAAATAAAAATAAAAATAAATCAAAACGTACAGGGTAGATTTCTGTAATCCCCCCATAACAAATGATACAATTTTATTGAACATGACAGATTTTTTTAATTTGTCTCTACTTTACCAGTATCTATACCTAATTTGAGAACTAATTACCAACTTTCTACTGTAAGGTACCAATCATTATCTCTGATAGTCCCCTGTAATAGTCCCCTGGAACATGACAGCTTCTATGGAGTAAAGGACAATAACAACAAACCTGCTATCATGACAGAGTCTCGTAACATTGAAGAGACCAAAGTCTGTGATGACAACCTTGCCACTCTCCAGGAATATATTCTTGGTCTTAAGGTCCTTGTGAACGATGCCCCTGGCATGGAGGTAGCCCATACCCTGAAAAAGGAATATCAATTATCTTCTGTTGATGCAAAACTAAACAGACACCAAAGGGTGATTTAAGAATAAAAGCCCTCAAATGAGTAAGGGTAGTAAGGTAGTTGTAGTTTAACTTAAAAAGGATGATATAAGGGAATTTTTGCAATCTAAGTCACACTCTTTCTTCTGGTGTCAGCAAATAGTTGACACTTAAAGTTGTCTAGACACTGTTTCAATTAAGCCTTTCAAGGCACATTAAACTGCACATCCTCATGCAGAGATACAGCTTTCCAAAGCTGACTGAAATTTTTGATTTTATCATGCATTTATATAAAAAAAAAGACATTAAGAACAGGGATGCATGGCAAACAAAGACTCAAATCACCAGATGGCTGCCTTAGAAAAGCAAGCCCACGTCAAGGTCATGGGAGCAATGGGTTAATATATGAATTTAGTGTAATTGTAACAGGAATTAGATTTCAAAATCATATAGAAAAAAATATATTCCCCTGGCACAATTGTTTTTTTTAAGTTTTAAATACCTTGTGTTATGAGAGATATAGTATCACCAGTGTGAAATTCAATCATGTCTAGCTTTAGCAAAATGATACAAAAGAGCAGCTAACCTACTAAATAGTACTAAAGCACAAGAACATCAAATACACTATTACACCTGCAAGATTGCTTTGGTCCTTCACCAACGTTCCCTTGAGCCTAGGTGGTGGCATCAGTTCAACTGTGCGGCAGGCTTAGATCACCTGCAGCTGGCCACCACACATGAGGAACAAATGTGTCGCACCATCACACCAACAGCACGTTCAAAAGGGGAATTGGCCAAAAATTCAGTAGTTATCCCATGACCTTATACTTGTGTACTTTCTTTTCCCCATAACCTCACCTGCTCCCTTGGATACTCTGTCTACTGCTTGTATTTATCCTGCTCTGTTTTGTGTATATAGTACCCTGCAAGTAATTCCTGCTACATGCTTCCTCTGCTGTGTTTCCGTTGACATGACTGCTGTGATTCTTAAAACGAACCCTGACAAACAACAACCATATCTAACAAGATACTGATTGTTAAGGAAATTACCTGTGAAATTTGCTGAGCAATCAAGATGGTGCGTGACATATTGAATTTGTCTTTCAGTACATGAATGTGTTTGTAGAGTGTCATGCCCTTGCATAGGCTTGTCACTATGGCCAGTCTTGGGGGCTTCATACATGCACCCATGAACAGGACCAAATTCTCGTGCCGGGTCTTGCGGAAAGTGCTCACCTGTTGAGTGGTAGAGAATATGTTCCCATTAAACACATGTATGTCTAGTATTGCCTAATATTGGATTGACTTTTTTCTTTTCTCTTTGTAAATTAAAACAATCCTGCTATTAAAAATGCAATGATGAAACTATATTACAATATCAAATAACTAAATTCTTTTTCATCCTTCACCTCTGCCTTAAATGCTTCAAGAGTTTTCTCATCATTGACATAGTCCATTCGCAACTCTTTTATAGCCACTTGTCCATGCCAATTTCCTGAATATACGATGCCAAATCTTCCTCGTCCAATGACTTCTCCTCTATCAAGATCATCATAGGGAATATCCCATTCTCGGAGAGACTGGGACACACTACTGACACTGTTCTGACGAGTACATCGCGGATCAGCATTTTCTCCATCAGATACTGTGGAATCTTGCGAATCTACACGACCTGCTATTGTGCGCTCAGAATCATCAGTGCCAGTACTGCCAGACCTATTGAGAAAGTCAATGTTATTACTTCTAGAAAGAGGATTTGATAAATCTTTTATTTCCATCTCATTACAAGACTCAAAAACTACAAAGGAAGCCAATTAAGAGTAACTAACATATCACAGCAGATCATTTTTAATTCAATTCCATTTCAGTAATAAAAGGCACATACCCTGAGGTTTGTGACACAGTGCGGTCAGAATCATGAGACTGTCTTGAGTCTATCACATCACTTTGGGTGGAGGAAGCTGATATAGAGGCCTTGGTAGGGGGTCGGGGTGAAATAAGCCGCATATCCAGGGAATGTCCCCACAGTCCTCATTCACCTCTGGTAATACATAAATGTAATCCCAAACATCATTTATTTATAACTTAAAAAGACAAAAAATATGTAACTAACTACACTGTAAAAATCTGGTTTAATATATTACTTGACTGATTTTCACAAATTTCATAAGCAAAATTGTTTAACATTTCCAAGTTTTATGCTTGTATGTTAAAACATATGTCTACCACCTAACTTATCTGTTTATAGGTAACTATATGTGACTCTGAATCTTTTTAAAGTGCCATATTTTTTCATGAATTTATTCTCTAGTGTGCCTTATACCTACAATTAGTGGTAAACCTTTCAAATTAGAATCTTAATAGCTGATTATCACATGACTGTAAACACCACTTCTGTAATTTACTTTAAATTAGAAGTCCACACTGCACCAAATAATCTAGTAATTAATGTGGATTAAGTGCTGCACTATTCAAACAAAAATTGTAGATGCAAACTTACCCCTTGCTTTGCCTGTGATAAAAAAGAATCTATACTACTAACAGAACTACATACAATTCTTCTTATACAAATTACTTTCAAATCATCTAAACAATTTATTTATACCAATCATCATTATATACACATTTCAGCATTAGTAAAACCAACTTTAATCTATACTATGACCAACATATAAAATCATTTCTTTCTAAAATACAACAAAATATAAATAGCAGAAGCACAGCAACTCCTTTAAAGCTATGACTCTAACTCTGACAATTTTACCTTTGGCAAGGTGTTAATCTGACTAACTACAACAACTTACACTTCATTCAGCATACATTATAAGCCAAAGCTGTGCTTCATGATACATTTACTCTACTTTGTGAATGAGACTTACAAATTCCTCAGGTAACAAGATGACTAACCTGGGAAATGGAATCCTCGAGTGGCTGAGGGAACACAGGTTATTAAGTTAAGGTCAGTCCTCAAACTTGGTCATTACGAACATCAATATCTAATACTTTATTTGGCATAAAAATAATTTATATATATTTTTTTATTATTATCATAATCAAAGAAGCCATACTTACTTGGAAAATGGAATGCATCATGCCTTGCAGGAGAGGCAGAAATGATGAGGGCTGGGCTGGAGGGGGTTGAGGAGTTGCAGCTGGATGTGTTCGAACTGGAATTGGGGTCCTGCAAGACAATGAAACTGGTTACACTCAATCACTGTTAAATGTTCATCTAGAAAGGGGGGAGGAAGGGGGAGACAGAAATGGGGAGATGGGGAGGGCGAGGGTGAGTGTGTGGCTGAGGGAGTAGAAAAGGCAGTGGGAGAAGACAGGCAGAGGGGAAGGGAGGGAGGGAAAAGGAGAAGGTGAGGTAATAAGAGGAGTGGAGCAAGGAGAGAGAGAGGGAAAAGGGAGGGAGAGGGAAAAGGGGAGGAAGAGGGAAAAAGAAAGAGAGAGGACAAGGGAAGAGAAGGAAAAGAAAAAAAAGGGAAAGGAGAGGGAAAAGGAGAGAACAAGAAAAAGGGAGGAAGAGGGAAAAGGAGAGAGAGATTGGGGAAAGAAGATGGAGAGGGAGAAGGAATATGTGAGGGAGAGGCAACAGCACATTCCATTACTTAAGTTCAAGACTTAGTAAGGTTTTAGAATTTTCACGTCATTTGGATGATGATGAGAATATTACAACAAAGATAAGGAGGTCACTGATATACTTCATAGTACGCCAACTTAGTTAACCAACCTGGAAGGATGGTATGCTAATGGACGGCTGAGAGTTGGACATCTGGCCGACCCGTAGAGGAGAGAAGACATCATTTGGATGATGGTGAGAAGGAGAGACTCCAGGAGTGCCTCCTCTGTGCAGCCCACCACTTCCATCCATACCAACCTTCTTCCAAGTCTGTTGGGCCAAAATATACATCAACAACTTCCTAAGTATGTATACTTTAAAGTACATATACTTCATCCACAATAATAAATTCGGCAACAATTTTTTTTTGAAGGGAATACTTGCTTACATCAGCAAATAATATGAGCAACTCTTGTGGCAATCCACAGGAAGGTGGCACTTTTGGCTCACATTCACGATGACATTTGTAGCTGCACTCCTTGCATTTCAGACCTGTTGATAACAAGTTCAAATTAATATGCATTGTTCTATGTCCTAATCATTCTTAGTAATTATATAAACCAAGTAATACTTCACCCATCAATAGTTTAGTAACGCTTACCTCCTAAAATAGCAAACTTGTGATGACAGTAACCACAAGTGGCAGACTTGATCGTCTTTATGAAGCGATGCTGCACATTGTGACCCATTGAACCAGCTAGAGTAGGGGTGCGTGGAGACTTTGGTACTGAAAGAGTAGCTGAAATCCAAGAAAAAATTATTATTTAGGAAAAGATAATGATCATATGATAGAGAGACAAAGCTATAAATAAATACTAAGGTTACAGTTACATGGCAAAACTAATTTTGAGAGGAGAGGGGCAATATCAGTCAAAATAAAGCTTGCAATTTTACTTTTCCGACACACCAATTCAAAGATTATCAAATTTCAGAAAATTATGTTTGTAACAGTATTTGATACCCAAATGTAATATACAACATCCTAATACATGTCCTAAAAGGTGAAAAGGCTTCAAATTTGATAAAAGAAAGAAAAGAAAAAAAAAAAAATCATAAAAAACTAGGACTGCCCCTTAGGTTAGACCTAATTGGGCACAAACTAAAAGTTTTTCCATTAAGCTAAACAGAACTCAATGCCTTTTACAGTACCACAGGATATAAAGCAAAAGATACAAACATAAAGCATACCTGTAAAACTTTAACAATCTACTGGCCACAAAATAATTTCAATTTGATCAAAATATATTTATCAAATAATACATCTTTCGAAAAATTCCAACACTGATAATAAATGAGGATTCTTTTAAAAAATAATGGTCTATCAAATAAGGGGCTTTCTTATACTTACTCTCCTACTTTTACATTTACGTATTTACAGTATTTACTTTTCTGTAAGGTGAATATGCATCAAATGATCGCATTATTAGTCCCTAAAGAATGCCCATGTTTATAAACCTACATTTCATTATATGACTGTCATCTTTGCAGGATCTGGGTAGTGAGGTGACTTGATGGGGCTGGCAAGAGTCGAAGGTGCTGGAGAGTTCTGAGGTGTCTTTAGGTCCCGCACATCCGTTCTGGTCCGGCTCCCATCCACCCTCTTGCCAGAGTTGTCTGCTGAAGCCTCAGACTCTGAGTGAAGGCGTGTCCTTCGAGTCACAAGTTGCTCCAAGCTGCCACCCAACCAGAAGTGATTAAGTTTTCTGATTATCAAAATCATTTTATATAAGCATGGTATACACATAAATGCAGATTCACAGATGTCATTCAGTTCACAAGATCAACATAATGCAATATAAATCAAACCAAAATAAATCAAACACAGTTCAGTAACATATAATTGTAAAAAACAATAAGTCATGATCATAATCATTTTTTTTTTTTTTTATCAAAACAAAAGTGAAAAATGGAATCCATTTGGACATTCCCCAGGTGTTGGATGATTGTTGTTGATGTTGAAGACACGAGTGTTGCACAAACGCACGCAGAGCCGCATCGTATCATACGAGGGAGCAGGCACGTGGCGACAGCATTCAGCATAACAAAGACAAGGCAAAAAAAAAAACTAAGCTACTTAAGAACATTTGAAATATAGCTTCTCTTATCTATTGAAAAAGACCAAATGCATATACTTTCTGAAGTCACAAGAAAAAAAAAGAAAAGAAAAGAAAAAAAAAAAAAGTTTCAAAACATGCACTGACAAAAATCTGCAGTGATCTTCAGACACTTGAATGCATTAGATCTTATTGTACTTCCAGCAAAGGCACTCATAGTTTGCCTTGGAAGCAATATAAAAGCATGCAATAGCTCTATTTAAACAAAAACATATGAAAAAAAAACAAGTCACATCCTACATTAAGTTCATGATGACCAAGCCTATGATTAGAAGACCAAAGATCCAAAGTACACAAATCTACATATGTGATCCTTTCTCCATTTTGGGATTTTCCTTTTCTTCAAACAGTTGATAACGAAAACATAAATGATTTGCATTTCAAAAATTATTACTATATTCTTGTTTCCTATATCTAAATCAATAAAAAATCAAAATAATAATGCTGATTAAGTTTTATGCATTCTGGCCTTTTAACTTGTAGCAGTATTGAATAGTCTGAAGGGAGGGGGGAGGGGGTATTAACCCATTCCTGCCAAGAACAGGTAATGTCCACTGTAGTTTTGTTTTCTGCATTGACTTTACACATAAATGGAAAGGGCTCAGCTACCAAGGAGTCATTAATAGCTCTATGAAACCTCACCTGGTTTCCCCTTCCCTTGAGCTTTCAGGATCTTTTTTGCTAATACTATCAGTATTGATACTGTGACTATTATTACTGACATTATGAATATCATAAAATCATTAACAATTCTAATAGCAATAAAAAACAAATAATATCATTTCCAAAAATCATGGAATAGGATAAGCAAATGAAAAGGCTAAGATTTAGTACTTGACTCCTTGGTGACTAAGCACTTGTGGATCCACTTATGTGTAAATACAATCAATAAACTAAATTTACAGTGAACACAGCATGTATGGACATACCATTCGCAAAATTTGTCTATAATGACCTATGCTATTAATAAGTTTTTCACAGGTACAGTAGATTATATAAAAAATGCAATACCATTAATATCACTAAAAGATATATATGATGTGGCTACCAATATGCAATATAATACGGTTTAATTGCATGAATATTGCAATTTGCTGCAGTAAAAGCTGAATGCATGGTAATACAAACCTTATTGTAATCACTTCTTGCTGCTTCACTATCAACTAATTAGTTGTAATTATCCAAATAACTGTCTATATCTTGATTAAATTAATGTTATATGATAAATATAATATAAGTATATAATCTATATAATGTAATGTACACAATATAATATAATAAAATATATAATATTTTGTGTGTGTATTTGTATATACATACCTACATTGTATAAAAAAAAAATAATAATGAATATTTCTGAAGGTATTGTAAAAAATTACCTAAAAGATACTCATATCAATACACGACAATAAAAATACACTGCACTGTGGCATAAAAACTAATCATAGGTCTGGCATCAATTTAACTACAATACATGCACATATCTGCAGTTTCTAAATCATGCAATCAGTACTTTATATAAATCCACTAATAATCAGCACTGACCCCCTGGTATCACCGTTTTGAAGGAATACTTGAGATATAAGATTAACAAACAGCATTTGACAAAATAGTCTACAGCACCACAATCACTATGAAACATATCTAAGCTATCTTCTAACAGTGAACAAAACTTCATGACGATACACAAGCAAAGAGCATGACTTAGTTTCCTTAACTACCTGAGAAGTGCTGAAGACTGCTGTTCATGACCCTCAGCCCTTGGCGCAAGCTGTGACTCGTGTGATGTGGAACGACCTAATGATGGCTGCAGGGGATTCAAGAGGCCAGTTTGGTATTT